ATAGAAGTGTCTGTCCTCCGAATTTTGCAACTTCACTTTTTTTCTTGACAGATCGGGTGTGTAGTGTCCGTTCATACTGATTCAGACATAATTCTAGGGAATGGAAAAAGAAGTACGTGTGCTTGTATGGAGACGGCCGATTGACGTATCACCATACTCAAAAAGATTATCGAGACAAACCGAGCCATGGAAAGGAGGTATGCAGAAATATATATTGACACGTCCCCGAGTCGCTCCTCTGCTGCGGGTGCATCGAATTCCCATTTGTTATCAGCTAAACCCGCACTCGTTAAGGTGTTTCTTGGTCTGGCAACAGTTCGAATAGCTGGAAGGCAACGTCTGTGCCGAATGCATTCATGTAATTAAGGTGTCCATACCCGCTCATCGGCTGCGCTGCTCGATCCTGGAGGTGATATAGGACCCATCAGTGTAGGATTGGATGCCCATTCCTTGGCTAGTGCTTCGACTTCACATCTTCCAACACCATCGTCCACTCCGACAACACAACGGAAGAATAGGAGGATATCGAACATTTTCGTACGTTTCACAAACGTTTACAATTTCCTTGACTGTTACAATCTTTGCAACATGGCGATATCTCGGAAATTTTTAGCAACGGCCCAAAGACAACGAGGAGAAGAATAAGACTCAGAATGTGAACCTCGGCGGTGGACGTGAAATTCCCATTAAAGAGGGAACGATGCATAAAAGGAGCACAAAGGGTGCTTTGAATCGGTGAGTTTTTGTTGTGGTAAAACAAACTTGAAGTTCTCTGCTGTGCTCCGCTCCGTTCCTTCTTATTTATGTCCTGTTCTTTCGAAGTTCTATTGATGACCGCTTTCTCATCGAAACTTTGCTGGTAAGCGTTCCTACAGGCACTGCTCGCACAGGTGGAGCCAAAAGGAGGGATATGTCGTGACGTGATACCAGACGACCAACCATTGATAAAATTACCTTAGACACACTCATGGGTACAGTTCAGGGTATCCAAGATGCGGGCGGCAAATTATGAGGACATTCTGTAGCTATCGCCAGTACCTGCAAACGAAGGGTGTGTGACCAGGGCGCCTGCAGACCCTACCATCTTCCCAAGATTTTCCAGTTTCTTAGGATACCTCCCAATTTTTCCTCGATAAACTGCCGAATTGCCGTCGACTGGGGGGGGGGGGGCGAGGGATGGTGGTGTAGCGCACCTAAAACGGGAAAACCGAGAAAGTTCAACAATCGGAAGCATTCAAGGCAGTGACGTTCCTCCATCCCTCCAACGACCAAATACGTCTCCCCTCGCGTCTCCCGTTGCTGGGGAT